AATATTGTCTTATATAGTTTAAAGATGTATATAAATGTATTAATATAACTTACATAGAGGATTGGAGGGATGGTTATAAAATTTCTTGTGAATTAGTACATGAAAGACAGGAGAAAAAAAAAGATTTAAAAAAACAGCGGAAATAAATATAAAGAAAAATTCACAAGTACTTTTCTCAACCATATCAAAAATTACATTTAATAGACTAACTGCTATAATTAAAAGACAAAGGCTGTTAGAAGGGATAGATAGCAAAACCTATTTGTACGCTATCTGGAAGATAGTCACCTCAAGTGTAAAGACTGGTTGAGATTAAATGAATAAAAAAGATATATCATGCTAACAGAAACAGAAGGCTGAGCCAGTTGTGGTGGTGCATGCCTATAATCCTGGCAGTCTGGTAGGCTAAGGCAGGAAGATCACAAATTTGACCCCAACTTGAGCAACTTCTGACTTTAGCAAGCCCCAGTCTTAGCAAACTCAGCGTCAAGGTCATGTATTCAATCCCTAATGCTGCTCTCCCCGCCCCCCAAAAAAGAAGGCTAAAAAGGTTAGAGTGGCTATGTTGGTATCAGATAAAATATAAAACAAAATAAAATGTATTATCAGAGATAAAGAGAGATCCTTTTAATTTATTTTGACTCTTTTAATTTCTGATAATGATTCTTATTATGGTTTGTGTCTAGCCTCGAAGCCTCGCACTTTCAGATGGGGCTTGGTAGCTGAATCTAGAATTTGTGATAGATTTGTAGTTCAATGCTGGGATTGGGATTAAGAAAGTGAGTGCTACACCAACCCTAGGGTAAGTACCCTGCATACACTATAAGGGACAGAAAAAAAGCTTGTCCCCTCCCTTCTCCTGTCTTGTTGCTTTTCACATCTTCTGCCCAGAACTGCCATGATACTGAGACAAAATACCCAACACCCAAAATTAAAGGAGAGAAGGTTTATTTAGCTCACAGTTTGTAGAGGTTTCTGCCCTTAATTAATTGGCTGGCTCCAAGGTAGGGTGGCAGATGGCAGGGGGCAAACCATTCATGGCAGTGGAGACAGCAAAAGCAACAAGAAAGGGGAGAAGGAACAAGCCTCTTTCTGTCCCTTATATCGTACGCAGGCTACCTGCCCTACTGCAGATGTAACACACATACCCTTAATCCTAGCACTGGACCATGAATCAATCACAAACTCTAGATTTAGCTACCTCTGAAAATCTCACCCCCCCCATAACTGCATGAGGCTTTGCGGGGGGCGGGGGGCATCTAGACACAAACCATAACAACATTTTATAATAATGAAAATATGCTGAATTAAAAGTTTGTGAAATGCACCAGGAATGATAGTACATCCCTATAATCCCAGCACTCAGAACAACTGAAAGTTCAAGCCTAACCTAGGCAACAAAAACAAAAAATAAAAACGAACAGAGATGTAGCTCAAGTGAAGGCCCTGGGTTCAATACCCAGTACTGAAAAAAAAAAAAAAGGGAAATGTACATGAGGGTATGCTTTGAAAAAGTCTTGTAACTATAAATGTCTATAAGAGAAAACATCATAATTCAATGATCTCCCATCTTTAGAGATGCAAGGCTTCATACAGCCAATTTTGAGTGTGCACACATTTGGGGTATAATATTAACAAGAGCCCTTCTGAGCAAGCTATTAGAAGCCAACAGAAATTTCTAGGGAAAGTACTAACAACTAATAAAGAGTAAACAAGTGAAGTACTCAATTGCAGATAAAATGCAATAGCAAAGAAGGGAAAATGACTGATGAAGTATTACTATATCCTCTGACAGGATACAGACAATACAATCCACAACAAATACATACCAGAAAAGGAGGGGAACGGGAGAAAAGGACAGAAAATAGAACAAGCCTCAGTAGGTAGGAGTCAGTATGTAGAGCTGTTGAATCAAGGACTGGGCAATTTAACTACTTAGCAAGACCCTGTCTTAACAAACAAACAAAAACAAACACCAATAACAAAGGTCCCAGGTCCAATCCCTAACCACCTCCACCCCAAAGACTACTACTGATCTGGGTGTAGTGGAGCCCATGTGTAGTCCCAACTGCTCAAGAGCCTGAAGCAGCAGGATCATCTGAGCCCAGGAGTTTGAGACCATCCTGGGGAACACAGCAAGACCAAACAGGAAAAAAGGGGGTAGAGGAAACGTGAGGAGAGAGACAAAGAGAGACAGAGAGAGACTGAGAAAGACTGAGAGAGGAAAAGGGAGACAGAGAGAGAGAGATTATTGTTGACCAAAAAGGAGGATGGAAGATGGGGGTGGTGGTGGATATGGTACAAAAACAATAGCTACTGTTAAAAGGAGGTGAATCAATAGGGTATTATATAAAGGAGGAAATAGTGCTATATAGGTAATCGCTAGAACAAAACAAGATATGACCAGAAAACCTGTGTATATTTTAAAGCATACAGACCAGCAAGGGAAGATCCTTTAAGGCAAGTGTCTCTGGTCTACTCAGGTGTATATACAGTGAGACTCACATCTTTCTGTAGCCTCTGAGGGTAGACTGAGGCTCCACTCTCACCTGTCCTGCAGGTTCTCAAGACTTCTGGTTCTTCAGCTCCTAGAAGATCGAGGACCCACAGCTCCTCTCCTTGCTCCAGCTGGGAGATCAGCTCTGGTTTCGGGATAGGGAATCCTGTCGAGGGTGAAGAACCTGAGTGAGCAGATGTGGCCTGGGGCGGGACACTGCTTGCTCGCCTTTACGGCCTGGTGAGGAGGGAGGGGCCCTGTTCGAGCGCCCCACGCAGGTCAGGGTGCCTGGGGGGCGGAGAAGGGATGCTGAGGGAGAATGCACTCCTCTCCTCTGCGGGGAAGGGGGTATGGCAGGGCCACGCGCGACAGGCAGCGACGTCCCTATCCCTGGGCACCACGGTGCATCTCCTACGGGACGCTCCTTTGACACAAATCAAATTGTTCGGGCGAGGGTAGGACCCCTCTTCTTGGGATCCAAAGGGCCTGGCAACCCCGAAGCCCCTAGGAGTCCCCGCTGCTAGCCTGGCGCCGCGAGGCCCTCACCCAGCGAGGCCACGTTTCCGTAGTTCTCCAGCATCACATCCCGGTACAATGCACGCTGCCTGGGGCCCAGCTGCCTCCGCTCCGCCCGGGAGAAGTACACGGCCACGTCCTGGAAGGTCAGCGGCATCGCTCCTAGGGCTCCCGTCGGGGTGGCGGGGAGCGGGGGCGGCCCCTCGCCTCGCTGACTGGACCCTGGACCCCAGTGGCGGCGGGAGGCCCCACTCGGCGGGGGAGGACGGCGGCGGGCAGAAGGCCAGGATCGGCCACTACGGCGGCCTCCAGGCTCACGCAAGTCGCAACACCCGTGTGTGCTCCGGCCCGAGACCTGCGAGTCGTGCGCACCCGAGGACTCAGAAGCTGGCAGCCTCGTGCACAGTCGCCGTCCCAGTGCCGGGGAGCCTCACCTGGATCCGCGCTGCCACCCGGGCCACTAGAACTCTGCCCGCGCGGCCGCTACACTAGCACAGCCGGGACAGCTGGGGGCGGGCCGCGCGAGAGGGGAGCGGTTGACACCGCCGGAGACCGGAAACGGACTTAAGCCCGGTCGCCTCGTACTTCCGGCGCTGCTGCGGGGTGGGGTGGGGGGCTGGGCTCCGGGGAACCGCGCGACCAGATATTGTGTACCAGGGTCGCCCCCTCCCTCCTGCCTGGCCAGAGCGTGTGCCCCTCCTCCTCCTCACCACAGTCGCATGTATAGATGTTCCAATAAAGCATAGTTTTAAAGGGGATGTGGTGGCCCTGTTATTCCAGTATTCTGGGAGGCTGAGCAGGAGGATGTAAAATTTGAGCGTAGCCAGGGCAGTTTAAGAAGACCCTCAAAGAAATAAATACATAAATATAAGGAGACCCTGTGTGTGTGTTGAAGGGGTAAGACACTGGGGATATAGCTTAGTACGACAGTTCTGGGTTCAGTCTCCAATACCACAGTAGAACGGTTTTAAAGGAGTGGTTTTGAAGGAGCTCTTGGTGCAGTCGAGAACGATCTAGTCGCCCCAAATAAGCTGTACATTCCACTAGACTTAAACAACAAACCAAAGGCTTGAGAAAGTAAGATTAAGAGAGTTGTTGCACATGATTTGAAAGTGGCCTTGTAAATATAGTATTAAGTGCCAGGAGGGCATGGAGGGCTGGGCATGCCCACTCAGGATTGTGACCAGTACAGACTTGAGGACGAATTAAGCTCCACAGAAAAAGCCTTAGACAAGCTGAGAATGATGAGAATGCAAAATCCCAGCCCTCTGATAAAATGAGGTAGGAAGATTACAAGTTCGAGCTCATCTTGGGCCACTTGGCAACTTAGTAAGACATCACTGATAAATAAAAAAGAAAAGGCCAGGGAATCTATCAATCCCAAGTACAAAAAAAAAAAGTTCATTTGGGGATGAGTGGTTCAAAAGTGGCTTCAACTTTAAGGGAAGTTTTTGCGCATGTTCAGAAGCAAACTGTCCAAAGTTCACTTTTACCTACTCCACCTGATGATGCCTTTTTAAAAAATCCATCCCATGGGGCTGGGGATTTAGCTCAGCGGCAAAAG